CCCAATTTCGGTTGAAGAGCCTCCAGGCACTGTACAACAGCACTTTCGATGGGCTGCTAGACATTCCATCCAAACCTAGCTCCCATCGCACCTTCTTCTCACGTCCAATATAGGCCTCGATCAACACCCTTCACCCAAACCAAACTCCACTTGCCTTTACGCTTCCGATTCCTTCGACAGACCAGCTCGCAGTGGCCCTTCGGTCTCCCCTCGCCTACTGCTGCTTTCCAGTTCCCTCGAGTCCAGTTCGTTTGTCACCCCTCAAGACAAGGGGTCCCCGTGTATCTCAGTGAGGATCGCATCCCTTCGTGATAAAGTAAGTTAAGCCAGTTGATCCAGTTCTTCTCTCTCTAATGTTCGGGCCCTAGACTCGCTATGTGTTTCTCACCTCCCCCACATCCTTGCCACCCGACTCCATCTAATGTACCACCACTCAAGATAACGCCATATCAGAATCTTGAGATCGATATCAACACAACATTCTCGCCAACTATGCTACCTCCGATGCTCCAGCCCTAATGTAGGAACAGTTATGCTATCTCATATGTTCCTACTCAGTGACATTTTACAGAAAAATGTGAAAGATTTCTCAACCCTCGCGTGTCTCGTGCGTGATTATTTGGGGATTCAAGGCTCCTCTGTAGCTTGGATTCAGGGCTCCTCTTTAGCTTCCAAATGGGCACTTTGAGTGGTGTTTTCAGATACCTTACAACGTACACCTGGAGCCATTTCTTTTTGGCTGGGTGCAAATTCTCAAGTGTGCTTATAAAACGCGCCTCCTCATTGCTTCAATTGAGGCCGATTCTCACCCAGAACGTAGATATATTAGTATTTAGATGCTAGAGTGCATAATCCCCCTTATGGAGGCAAATATCCATTTTTTCTGCCAGTTCAGCAGTTCGAACTGAGAACTGAACGGAACTGAACAGGAAAGAATGGTTCTTACCAGTTCAGTCCTGTTCGGTCCTCAGTTCTGCCCGGAGGCTGTCAGTCCAGTTCTCGGTTCTCAAAAAATGCCAAAGAACTGAACTGAACTGAACTTTGGCAACACTATATAATCTACGGCGACGACCCGTTCAACACTTCAAGAAAATTAACGTAGCCAAAGCGTAGCATGCCTTGGGCATGCAAGTTGCTGGCGGTCGAGGTTATTTTAAGGGCAGAGCGCCTACTATGGTCGTGCGAACGGGGTCGCTACCCATACCTGTGCTTCACTACTGATCACTACTGAACGGAGTTTGAAAAGATCACATGGGCTTCCAATTTGGAATGCCGATGCGCGGCAAACCATGCCATGCGCCGCACATGACTTGAAACTGCAGCCTCGGGCTCTGCAGCTCCAATCTTCGTCTTTTCTTCTTGCCCCTTTGTTCAACGCGACCTCAGAAGATATATCTTGCATATATTGTGAGTTTAAATGTACTTCGAATTTATTTTTCAATTATCCAATGTCAACACTGCTTGTCTGCTTGTCTAGCATTGAAAATCCTCGAAAATCTTACAAAAGAATGATGGAGGAGCCCGAAAACACAGATACCATGAACTTGCAAGCTCCAAATCAGCCTGTTGATGACAAGTAAGTCCTTTTGGTATTTACTGTACTGTCTTAGTTACCTCATTTGGTCAGTCAACACCCTGCTGAAAATACAAATATCAAACGTGGTCGTGGCCGTCCAAAAGGGTCGAAAAACAAACACAGTGCCACAACTTCAGTTACTAACAATAAACCAAGCACTACAGAAATTCATCGAGGGCCTGGAAGACCTCGGAAACAGGCTGTGAGGTCAATAACACAGGTTCAGAGTGTGGTATGTAAATAATATTGCATTTTTGCCTATTTATAAACTACTCTAATACTTCTAGGATGGGCCTGTGCATATGGAACCTGGGATAAATGTGCATCAGCCACTTGCTCCTATTTTTCTTTCCCAAGCAGTTGCAGCAGTCCCAGATCAGGTGCCAGTTTCTCTTCCATCAGACCAAAACCCAATATCAGAGCCAACATATCATGAGGAAGTTGAGACTTTTGTTCTTCCTGCACATGATCCTTTACAGCAATTGGATGACTCACCAGGTGAGGATGATTTGGACAGTTTTCTTGGACTAGGCAACAGCAATGGGATTAATGGTGATGCTGCAAGTGCTGAGGGAGACTTTACTGAGGATGATGGTGAAACTTCTGGGCAACTGCCATCACTGGTCTTGGATGCATTCTGGAAAAAAATTGAGTATCTCAAGGGTTTGACAGAAGGTCAAGGGCGATCAGCTAAACACTTGGTTTATGAGAAGCTTCAATCATTCTGGTTGCCTCATTTTGACTCTTTCTTCTATCTTCGGCAAAAAGCTTTGTCTCCAGAGCAGCTTTTGATCCCTCGATTTTTCTATTGGGATCCCTTGCTTCTTGTTGATCGCATCCCTTGCCCTGTTATTCATACATCTGGTACAAGTACTATTGCTTGTTCTGGGATATTGGTTCGCCATGGTTATTGTCAGATGCCACACCGCATAATTGATCTTGAGAATTCATACTATCTGATTTCCGTGCGCTATAGATGCAATCAGTGCAAGCCTGTCCACACTTTCTCAAGCTGCAATCCTTTAGTCATAGCCAAGCTACCTAGGCCTCTTGCTGCACAATTCCCTGCCTACCTTAGTAAACAAAGTGGTCTCTCAAAGCAGGTTTTTGCTATCATGCATTGCTGCTTTCAAAATAGCTTGGGAGCCAAACAATTTGCAGATAGCCTAAATGTTCTTCACCACCAATTTCATGATATGCTGGAAGTTCAGTATTTGCAAACTGTTCTTGAACGTGAGAGTGGATTATACAAGCCTTTTCTTTCCTTTGAGTCCAGTCCAAGTGCTGCACCCTCTGGCCAATACTGTCGGGATATTTATGATAGAGAAATTGAAGCTCATGAAAAGGAGTTTGATCAACATACTGCTCAATTATCATCTTGTGGTATGGGTATTGACCATTCACACAAGGTTAGATTTCTCTACTTTTTTTTCTCAGTTTCTTACATTTGCTTTCTAGATTACCAAACAAATTGCAAAGATCCAGAGTGAACCTGTTTTCACAGGCCTTCTTACTATGACTAATGAATTTGGTGAAATACGAATCTGTGATCTTGTTCCAACGAAAGCCCACTCTCAGTTTGATATTGCACTTACACGGATGAATCATTCTATTAAACTGTTTGGTCTTGAACCTCCTCGCATAATCTTTACAGACAATCTGGCAGACAAGCCAATGCTTGAACGACACTTCCCCAGCCTTAAAGAAGGAGTACGACCTGTTAACAGTCTTGGTGACCTACCTGTCTTGCAACTTCCCTCTGGATGTATCCCTAAAGTTTTTCAAACAGCTACGCAAATCAATTCAGCAATTCTTAGCTTCATTGACACCTTCTCACATCTTGATGGGGACAAACTGGTTGTTGGCCTAGATACTGAATGGGATGTTGATCTATCAGCATGAAGACAAGGTGTACCTGATCACCGAAAAACTGCAATCATGCAGATTGCTTATGGTAATGAAGTATGGATATTTCAGGTTAGTACTGTAAATTTACAGAAATGCAGATTATGCATTGACAATGTTATACAGTTGAGTGAACATATTGCCAATGGATCATTTCCTGCTCAATTGTCAACATTTTTGGCAAATTCTCAAATTCTCAAAGTCAGGAGAAATGTTTTATTGGACTTGAAGAATCTGCAAGAAGATAGTGAATCCTCTACTCCATTTGTTGGAGGTATTGATCTAGGACGACTAGCAAAAGAGAAAAATGTTGTTAGTGATGCACGTGCTAGTCTGGGAGACTTATGCATCAAAACACTTTCTTGTATTCTTCCCAAGGATCTCAATATCCGAATTAGTCCAGATTGGTCTGGGCCACTTACAGATGAACAAATTCAATATGCTGCACTTGATGCTTGGGCTTCTCTTAAAATTTATGAGAAGCTAACTAGTCTGTGGATCCCAGTTCCTGTAAACTTTGCAAATGCACTTCCTGCAGGAGATCAGATTTTTGTTTTTCATGAAGATCGCACTACTATTATTGCTTGTGGAATTGTCTCACCTGCTCAATTCAATAGCTTTGAAGGGATTAATATTACAAAAACACAAGTACTCATTCAGGTTGAAGAGATCTATGTTCCTGGTGCTAAAATACATTTGCACCGTGAGCAACCTCTTTCATTATTTGGTCAAACACCATTTAATATGGTCTGCAGGAGAAGCCAAGTCAAGACATTTGTCCCAGAATTCATCCCTGCTCAACATGGCAATACCATACCAATTCCCAATGCCTCTGATTCTTCTAGTAATGTATCAGACATTGATCCTTTAGCAGAACTGGAAATGGACTCCAATTTTGTATTTCAGACAGACAATCCAGATTTTCAAAGTCTCAATATTAATTTCTGTGAAGCAAATGCTGTTCCTGCTACTCATCAAACAGCAAACTTTTCTGCTGAAGAAGTTGATCGCAATGCAGCAGATGCATATGTCAAAATTCTTCATGACCTTACAGAAGTTCCTTGGGCACCTGCTATTCACAGTGGTGTATTGAAAGATATCTTCCATGTCTTTCATATGATATATATACCCAAGTCCCATGGTCTCTGTGTAACCTTTTCTCGAGCTTTGCATGATGCAATATTTCTTCCTGATGATGAGGATAAAAGATGCATTGTCTCATATCTTGCAAGCCAAGACCCACCTATGACATGGGGAGAATGTTTGCAATCCAATCCTCAATTTATAAAGAGACATTGCAAACATGTTGTTCCTCCTCCAGAACAGCTTTATGATCTGGTTTCCAAAGTATTTCAGGTCTATGGACCTTTAAAAGATGCACAATCAGGTTTACCTCTGTTTAGTTCCAATACTTGGAAAACAGTGAAGAATATTCTCGAGATTATTAAACTTGGCCAAATATCTGATCCTCCTGGGATACCATTATACTACTGCCTTGGCATGGCAAGAAATGGCCTTCCAATCTATCGATGCTGGCATGGAACCAATTTTACTGAGGGTGCAGTTCATCGCCCTATTCGCAAGAGCATGCCATATTCAGGTGTTTCTCCTCATCATACTGCCAATCGACTGAAAGATTTTGTATTTCAGCATAATATGCTGGTTGGCACCTATAATACTACTGGCCAGCACTATAAAGGCCACTTTGATATTTGGTTAATCAATGAACGGCAGTCCTTACTCAACTCAGAAAGGATCCGACAATTGATTCCAAGGTCACAGCCAGTTGCACGATGGGTAAATGGTGATCTTTACATTCAAACAACTGAAGTATTTGGAATTTTGCCTGTTCCAGATCCTGTAAAAGTTGCCAGCGGAATTTTGAAATATGATTCACAACTCAAGCCAGAGCAATATGCATACCTTGCATCAAAGCAAGATACACGATATGCCATCCTAACTGTTCATACTACAGAAGAGAAAAATCTCTTCTCTAGATTTATGCGGAATGAGCCAGTCTTCATGAAAGAAGGTGGTCCTGACTGGCCATCTGCTGTTCACAAATGGAATGAATTTGCAAATGGGAAGACTATTTTCTACAAGGTTATTTCTCTTTTTTTTTCAAATTCAGTAACACTCATGCCATCATCCAGCTCATAGAACACTTGAAATCTTATTACACAGTATGGGCAAATTCACTCAACGCAAAGCATACTCGAATAAGTACATACAATGCAAGAAAGGACATTGACAATATAATTCGAAACCCTGCACGTCTTACTCATGCCCCACCTGTACCACAATACCCTACCTCAAACCGTCCTTTACCAACAGCGGGCCTCAGAAGTGAAGATGTGACCAGTAAAGAGCAACCAGTGGGGACAAGCTCTCGGATACAATTGGCAGGTTCCAGTCAACCCTTTGTGGCAGCGCAGAAAAGACCTGCCGAGCCAATGGGAGTTGATGATGATGAAAGAGAGGTGTCACGAAAGCGAGCACGTCGTCAATGTGCCAAATGCGGGATGGGAGAGGGGTGTGCCGGAAATAGAGGGAAAGCCAGGTGCCGAAATTCATGCAGGGATTGTGGAAGTACTGAATGTGAGGGAAGGGATAGTAGGAACCGGAAGAAGAAATGTCCTAATAGTTAAATTGGTAGTCAGTAAATGTATATGTCTCATATGGAATTGAAGTAACATACCCAAATTAAAACAATAGCGAGATAACAAGAAAGAAAAGCGAGCAGAATGCCTACTCGCGTTCACGCTCGCAGTCGAGGACACCACTTGCGGAAACGGGTGCCACAGATGTGAGGCATTGGCGCTGGACAGGACAGGGGAGATAAGGTGATACGGTCGTGCGTGTCGGAAAACGAAGGTTCGGGGAGTTGGTGTGGGTGGTGGTCACTTGCTCAGTTGCCCTGTCTTCGCAAATGGGCGCTCAGTCGATAGCGGGCCCTGCGCAGTGAGCTGGCGGATGAGAATGGCGGGGACGGGGACCGAGGAGCGGATGGCGCATCTAAACGAAGGCCACTTGGGCCTACGTTACGCGAAAACGAAGGTTGGGGAGTTGGTGTGAGTGGCGGCCACTTGTTTGATGTGCGCCGTTTCCGTACATGGGTGCTCAGTTGATAGGGGGCCTGCGCAGTGAGCTGGCGGATCGAGGATGGCGGGGACGGGGACTGAGGAGCGGATGGCGCATGTAAACGACGGCCACTGAGGCCCACGTTCACGCCGACTCAGCCGCGTGTCCTGCCTCGCTGCGAGGGAGCCCGGAATGGGGGTGGCGATGGCGAATGGAGAGGCGCGATGGCCGCTTTTTCACGTTCAGGGGTGGGAGGGAATAGGGAGCCGAGAAAAGAAAGAGAGAGAGGCGGTGGGAGCATAGCGCCGGCCTGCTCGCAGTTGGAGATGGGGAGGGGCGCGGTATGCGGTCGTTTGGTGCCATGAGATCGTGCGTTGACGTCCGAAATAGTCGAAGTGATTGAAACGAGGTGATTGA